GGCTCAGCGCGAAACTTGGGTGAAATTCAGGGGTTCCGTCCCAGTCAGTACGTGGATTACGAGGCGGTGCAGCGGCTAAGCCATCATTACCAATAATATTACCTATGGGCGTTATACAATACCTCAGGGTTGCGTTGTATTTCATACACCGCCCCATGATCCTTCAAAGATGAGTATTTCTGGTAGACTGTGGCTACTGTGGCTACTGTGGCTACTGTGGCTACTGTGGCTACTGTGGCTAAGCAGTTGACCTACATGACAGGCAGCTGGGAAATGGGACACGAAAATCCACTAACACAATGTGCACAATCCAAAGAGCCAATGCTTTATATTGCTGCCATCTATTAATAAATCAAATCTTGACTCTTTACAATGTTACGTCATTATTAATTATGTGGTCTGTTTGTCAGGGTGGATGTCACCGCTAATATATATCTGTACTAAGAGCTCTGTGCTCCTTCATACACACAAACATTTTTATTTGGTAATCATACGGAAAAGCAGAATACTATCAAACGATAGCCATAGATGTTAACTGCATTCAGATCACAGTCGCCTCTCTTGGAATGATCCCACTGGCCGGATCATTGTCAGGTCCGGAAACGAGGTGGCATGTTACATACTCAGCACATGATAAAGCGAAGGGGACATCAACCTAAGAAGGAAATATGTGACTGCCAACCGACTGCTGTGTTGATATCAAGCCCGGGCCGGTAAAGAAGCACTTGACCTACTCCTCCGTCGTGGCCTTGTCCTTGTCAACAGCGGCCGTAGCCACAAGGGAATGAGAAATGGAACCTCACCCATTTTCTCCGAATCTCTTTCAAACCCATCACTTTTCTTGCTCTCTTGCTTCGACCAAGATCTATGTGATCTCTTTGGATCCGAAACCAGCTACATGAGTTGTTGACCCTGAATCTGTAGGTGAAGTTATGTGGTGGAAGGACGATCATGGCCCTCCTCATGGCCGCACTCATAACTACCATTCTAGCAGACGCCATGGCATTTGTCTGGCCAACTCGGCCCCGATGGGTCCTTCCAGATAATGTTCTCGGTCGATGATGTTGATTTCTCCCCAAGTTACCCACCAGTCCGGTTTGGAAGAAGACATGAATCCCTTCAATAAATAATGGCGAATAACACATTGGAGTGATATGGCGGCCTTTGTATTCGAAGAGTCTGGCAAGGAAATCAGTCGGAACGCATCTTCCATCATTTCAGCTGTCAGCTTTGCTAGACGCAACGATATCACGTAAGGTGGCCTCTTGTCTCCAAGATCCATGACTTTCACCATGTTACAGGTAGCTTCCAACAAATTATAGATCCAATCCATCCTCTGGTGCATAACGATGATGACATACGGTCCATTGGAGACTCATTCGAGGAGTCGGGAGCTGGTCTCTCTTCGACCATTGCTGTAGGAGCTGGCACTGCTGGTCCTCCTTGCTTTCCCTCCTCCCCTTTTCGGACTCAGCCGATGGTGTGTATCCTTGAATGATACTCGTAAATCATCCACAGTGGTCGAGTTGGTATCCCGTCTTCGATTGGGGATAGAAACTGAGTTTGTGACTGTGTTTTCTCACTTGCGGCAATGACAGCGGTGCCACCTTTATTGAAAGACTCTGCAGCGGCATTACAAGCAGCAGGAGGATTGTCGCCACGTCGTCCGCAATGTCAGCCTTTGCCCCGGAGGCAAGGGGCCCCTGCATTCTTGTCTTTGTTTCGCCCTATTCCTGAATACCTTCTTACCGGTATCAACTTGAGCCTTCCAGGTCATCATACAGATTGGATGATATCACCTCTAAACGGAGGTCTTCTATTAACCACCATCTTTGGCAGTAGACTGTAGTATTCACTAAACCAGCTCACTTCGATAGAGACTTTCAGTCCTGTTGGATGCCATTCACTGGATTTGATTCTGGATTCGGTTCAAGGAATTCATATACTTTCTCCATTCACCAATGATAAAAGTCTAGGCTACTTAGCATCGCAGTCCAATCCGGAAGTGTAGACATAATTAGAATCATCTCCCCTGTTCTTCTTCATCTTCTCCCTCAACTTATCACCTAGCTTCAGCTTCTTCTCAGCTTCAGCTTCAATGACTCTCTTGTGATGTTCTTTAATACATCGTCCTTTGCCTCTCACCAACTTCCAGAATGTATTCCACCCGTCCTGTTTCTTTCTTGCAAGGAATGCATGGCTAAGTATAAGCAGAACCCCACAACCTTCCACCATCTCGAGGTGCGAATGCTGAGAAAGGGCTTGTCGGGGGGGGGCCACAAATATCAGCGACTATTTGGAATTGCCCTACATGACACACAGCTTTCCCAATTCTGCTGCAGCTGCAGGCCGTTCCCTCAAAGTAATGTATTCATATCAGCTCTTGATGGACACATGACTAACTGCGACTTTTAGGGACCTCACTTCAAAAAAAAATTGAAGAGGCAGGTAAAGGCAGAATACCTAGAAGAGGTGAGTTCCCCTTTGAATATCAATGCGTATATACATGTGCAGATACATACTTTGTACTCTGTACTCTATGCACTATATATTTTAAGATAGTACTAACTATAAGATTATTATTAGCTCCTCGCCAGCCACTGGGGTTTCCCTGACAATGATGACGTTGAGGAGCCTGGCCATGGGGCTGCCCTTAGCCCTGGTCAGACCCTTCTGAAAGAGAAGCTTTTTTGAGACCACGCACAGCTCAAGGACCTCAAAGAGCAACATACAGAATGGAGGAATCAGACCAACCCAGGCCATTGAGGCGGAGTATTTCCGCCATGAAGAAACACTCACAAGCTGAGGCAGAGGCAGGGGCAGACACTTTCAAACGAACAAAGGCGGAGATCTGTCTGCTGCGTATCAGTTGACTTTCTTGTCGAATTGATACACCCAGAGTACCTCTGCAAGTCCAAGCTCTGTTTGAGAAGGAAACATGGTCCTTAGAGGATTTAATGTTCCTTCCGCCAGCTGGTGATGATAAACGCCAAGGTATCTATGGCAATTTTGTCACCGGTCAATTTAAGAATCCGGATGATATAGGATGCGATGCTTATGTAGGGTCATCAAAATCCCTTGCACAACGCATCTCCGATCATCCGAGCAATGCTTGGAATAATCCACCCGACTCTCCACCGCGAGATACCAAGCAAACTCTCCATTATAAGCAAATTTGGCGAGATGGAGCGCAATTTGACTTCAGGTTGATCATGGCATCATTTAATCAGCCTGTTGACGAAGGATATCTCCCCATAGAAAGCATATTCATGGTGTTTCTGGGAACTTATGAGAACCAGAATACACCCACTGGTGAGCAACACGTGCCACACATGAAATTGATGGAAAGAATCTGAGGAAGTCTGAATCTTCCATTAATTACTTGGCCAGGGATGAATGCGGCATGACCTTTGTATCAGAGGTGCTATAATAGAGCTGCTGGGTCACTATCCAAGTACACTAATCCAGCCTGCGACATGATGACCTTTCCAACGCATATGCGCCCTGAAGATGTACGAAAGTCCAAGCACCAATACTTAAACTCGGATGATGCTCTCAGCCAACATATGTGTGGCTGCTGTGGCGACTACGGATATAGGCACGGGGTACTTTCTAAAAGAGAGGTTCTTGCAAAGTTTCAAGAACATCTACAGGCCTGAGCGGAAGCTGGTCCGGATGCAGCCTGTCATTGTTGTGGTAAGCTTGAGTCTTTAGCGAACAGGCTCTCCATGATATTAAGGAAGGGTGAGAGAGAAAGTCCCCCACCTTCGCAGGTAGCGCATACATGCGCTTGTCCCAAAAAGCTTCTGTATAGGGATGCAGGTTCTTCATTGATAAGAGCAAAAGGCTACGTACGCCAGAGGAGGCTGGCAGTTTTTATAGGTTTCTGACCTGAAAGCTACAAGAGCTGCGGATGGAGAGATTAGGTGTGACAACTGTGGCAAGATAGAGGGTCTTCCAACGTGCAGTGGGAGGGGAAATCCCACAAATCGCGAAACCCAGAAATTTCTTTGTTATCAATGCGACTTCTACTACTGTAGCAACAAGGAACATCGGCTTCTGATGTTAACTCAAGCCAATGTGCTCTGATAGATGCTGGCTAAACGGAAAGCCTGTAACAAAATCATGTGTGATATTGTGGGATAGCCAAGGGCTCCCTAGGCACCACAAAACTGTTTAAGTTCTTAGCAGCAAACTCGTCATGATCCTATGCTCTCCATGTGGTGTACACCTAGTCGGTTGTGAGGAGCTACAGAAACCCTGCAACTAATCGCATCCTGATATCAGTGCATGGCTGGAACAGGATCGCAGAAATCCCAATCCAGTCAGCTGTCAGGAATGCAGATGCTGTGCCGTCGAAGGTTCATCACCAATGCGGATCATGGTGGATGATCTAAAGCACCAAGCGCATGTCCACCATGAGCATAACTGCCGCTTTCAACAACTTCTCGCTGAGATGAAGTCGACGACTGGCTGACCGGAAGCCAATAACGACGCGGCCGCTGGGCTTAGGGGACTCCAACAGGACTTTGGGACCTGGAAGGAGAGGCAGGAGGAGGAACGACGCAAGGCAGTAAGGGAGGCTGGGGACGCTGTAAAGAAGGTGTTCAAAGAGTCAGATGCAGTGTGGGCTGCCATGGATGCTGCTGTGAAGGCTGTGTTCAGGGAGCGCCACTGCTTTTCTTTTTAAGAATGAGCCATGTTCAATTTTCATTATGACTGGAAGCCAAATTCCCATGTAATATTATCAGCGGTAGTAAATTTCAGTATACGTACAAAGTAATCGGTCAGTCATCTCCCTATCGAACTCGGTCAATTCTCAGCATGCCATATTTGTCAACATATGGCCTTTCTCCTTTAGTAACCCAGACCCCCGTATGGGTTGGTGTCACACAATCAAAGCCACCCTCATGCCCCCAGACAGCTTCCATTTCTTCTCGAAATTTGGTTTTTGGCTTATTATCTCTGATTCGCAGCTTTTCGAAGAACACATACGCTGCCTAAAAGACGCTGCTTGTGTTGCCCGCATTGGCACCACGCTTGGAGAGAAAGTCATTGAGCAGATTGGCATTGAGCTTCTTGTCTGTATCCGGATACGCAGCTTTCGCGATATCGCGCAGGAACTGAGCCTTGGTCACGTCGGGGTCACGAAGGTGCCGTGCGATCTTCGAGCGAACTAAATCACAGGTGTCCCAGACGGGGACGCTTTGGTCCGACTCCCCGTCGAGATGAATTCCAGAGACATCGTACTTTTCGGCAACTTTTTTCTGCGATTCCTTGGTGGCCCTCTTCTTTCGGGGCGGCTTGATGCCTTGCAATTCGCGTTTTTTGAAGAAACGCGCCGCCTTGATATATGTCGATGATCCAGAGCCCTTGTCGCGGCCGTTCTGGCCCATAAAGTCCAGGTAGGAACGCGAGGAGACGCCAATTGCGTCTTGGAACTCGCCGATTTTCATCTCTCCGCTTTCTATGAAAGTGCGAATCCGTCGACGGACGTGGTCGCAGTTCCAGTCGATGTAGTTTAGGCGTTCATCGTCGCTATCAATCTCAGGAGGGATGTTCTCGGCATTTGAAGGGTCCACGTCTGTGGATTTCCTTTTGAGAGACATGGCGTTCTGTATAGCGTTGGAGGAGTCTTTGAAATAGACTGAAGAGGTGACAGAGATGAGTTGAATGACGACAAAACATCAGCTGGTGAAAAAAACGCGTCGAATTCGAGAAGGTTCAGGGGGACATAAACAAGCCCACCGGACAAGACGCGCGATATGAGCTATCGCGATTACCTTCAGGGGTCACCCTGCAACAATCGGAGAAATCTAACAGCTCGTCAGAATTTCATTGGTTGATTTATTATTGGCTTTATTAGAAGAAATCTTGATCGCGTCATCGCTGATTCCTCTCTAAATGCTCGCTCATCTACCTATATGTCTCTCTATATGACGTCATGTCTAGTATAAGTTTGGTGTTTAACCAGAAGCCATTAGAGGCAGAGCATTATTGTCAGAGACAACATGTAGGTGTAACAGCTGTACACAGTTCTTTCGGTCTCAGGATGATAGCTTCTTCGAGTAAGTTCCGGGAGGCATCTAATGAGGATCCGCGGGCCTATCATCCGAGGATTTTGTGAATACCGTCGTAGTCAAATAAAGGGACAGCGCTATATATGACCTGACTATGGCTGGATCCGTGCCGAGAGGGCTTACACTCTATGTCAATCCGCGAGCCCGCTGTGGGCAAGGCGGAGAGTAGCACGCGGTTACTCTCCCGTAGTCACCTCGATCCGGTCCCTAAAGGGACGTTGGATCAATCTCCCGTTGGCATCAACCTTCTGGAACAGGTTCGGCACTTGATCGTGTTCAATGACGGTAGATATGTGGGGAAAGGGCTTCACCGGTTCCCACTTGAAATAATGCTTTTGGTTTTTCTCATCCCATTCAAAGCGCGGCACCATGCAGTAGATGCGCCTCCAGAGTCGTTGCATGAATCGCCGCGTGATTTGATGAGGTCGCCCGTTGACGAAGTCCCTAAACGTCGGCCCCTTTTTCGGTCCTTCTGTCAGAAATGCTATATTAAGACTGGTCTGGCCGGGAGCGTCCAGAGGAACGCCAACGGCTTTTCTTCTCTTCGGTGGTGTCCATGGTATTCTCCCAGAGATCAGACCATGCAATGTATCGAGCTCTGCATCGGGGAGCGGCGGCAAAAGGCTGTCAAGCACGGCGTAGTACCATTTTTTCCTGATGTTCCGCCGACGACTTTTGGCAACCGGCTTGCCCCAGCTGTTTTCCTTGGGTATAGGCGGCTCCAGAGTCTTAACAACAGAACGATCGCTGAGCTGTGAAATGACGCCATTCCGCAATTGAGACTTCAAGAGATCGAGCACAATAGTCGGAGGTTTCCAATCATCTTCGAACATCGAAGGCCCCTTCAGAATGCCTTCCACGGCCACGGCATCGGGAGGAACTTCCGGGACAACGAAGACACCTAGCAAATCCCTTCTTTTCTTTCCATTTCGTCCATACGAGAGCCGGAGGACCTTTTCGAGCGGTCGAGAATAGCCTTCGTTGGCACGCTTCAGTAACGACAGTTTCTGGGTTGCGGTTTTGCGGAGGTGCTGCCGGTGTAAATCATCTTGTAGCTTAGATTGCGACTTGTCGGAATAGCGTCGAAATCTCCGGACTACATAGTCATGCATGTAACCTCGGGCGATCGGGTCAGGGAGATATGTGCACTCGCGCAGCAAGGCACGGAAGAGATGTCGCCACTGTTCGGGAGGGATGAGCGGTAAGGAGGACATTGTTCAGTTGCAAAATTTCATCAATCGCAGTTCATGGAATCGGGAATATCCGTCTATACTGCATCTTGCTGTGCTGTTAGTTATCGCGATCACCGATGGTCCCGGGGACAGAGAATCCAGCGGAGAACAAGTCAATCCCCGGCCGAAAAGGGAAATAGACGAGTTACGCGAAAACGCCGAGCGGATGAACGCGACCGCCGTCAAGCCCCGCGACTCCTCATCACGATCTTCGTTCACTTCTATGCACGATTTACAGCCTGATTGAATCTAGAATTGGCGAATGCATATTTCATAGCTACAGGTCGATTTATTCTGGTTCTTGTTACTTGTACATCTCTCCGTTTGCTCAGATTGGCTTGTTTTCCCAACCCTTTCACGATCGAGGCGCCAGCCACGCGCCTTCGTTGCCTCCTCGCGCGACTCACCTCCTCGGTAGTTATTGAATAGGTGCCTTTCCCCACTCGATTTCATCCTTGTCCAGAGCTGAAATTTCCTTTCATTTTTGCTTATTCTCCAAATGAGATGGAAAAATAATGATAGGTATATGAGAAGTCACATCTTGTACTGACACATCACCTTCAGACCGCGCATGTGCATGGTGTCAGGGTTCGGCAGACACGGCACCTCCAAGTGATGACTTCAAACAACCACCATCCACCGCGGCCCAGCTTGCCCATGTCGTACTCTCAAAGCAGCTTAGGTTCCGCCAATGGGATAGCTTTCTCTCAGTCGCAAATGGGATCTTTCAATGCTTCCCAGTCCGTCGCGTCGACGCCTCGAGCGACACCCCCTCCGAAAAGCTCACAGCAATCGATGTCCTTTAGCTATCCAAATGGTCTTCCAGGCGGCGCGAGAGGTAGCTTTGGAGGGTTTGATGATGTGAATGGCTATGGGGTAATGGTGCAGTATCAAGAGGAATATAGACCGCAGATCTACAAGGTTGGTCTATCCCTTGACCTTTCGATTTTGTTTGCTGACGATTCTTTTTGTTGAAGGCTGTCTATTCCAACGTCTCCGTCTATGAAATGGAAGTAAACGGGGTTGCGGTCATGAAGCGTCGGTCCGATTCCTGGTTGAATGCTACTCAAATCCTCAAAGTAGCTGGCGTTGTTAAAGCTCGAAGGACGAAGACTCTCGAGAAAGAAATTGCTGCAGGCGAACATGAGAAAGTTCAAGGAGGCTATGGAAAATACCAAGGAACATGGGTGAATTATCAAAGAGGCGTTGAGCTTTGCCGTGAGTATCACGTTGAGGAGTTATTGAGACCGCTCCTTGAATACGATATGGGACCCAATGGCACCGCGAATGCGGGCCATGACACTCTAGACACTCCTACAAAGGAGCAAGCAATGGCAGCGCAGAGGAAGAGGCTTTATAGCGGTGTGGATAATCGCGGGATGTCGCAACCGCAGCAGGGTACCTTCTTCCAGAATATTTCCCGGACCGCTGCAACGGCTGTGAACGCTATCAGCAAAGCTCGGTTCGATTCACCTGCAGCAAGAAATGCCGATAGTAGGCGCTCGAGTATCATGCGAAAGTCATCACATCAGATGAGCAGCCAGGAGTCTCAGCTCCCCACGTTCAGCAGTCAGCAGACCATGTACAGTGTGGCCTCCGACAGTGGATTTGGCAGCAACGCTCAGAGCAATGGCCGATTCAATGGCCCTGATGTCGCCGCCTTCGAGACAGAAGAGTCGATCGAGCCGCCTCGTAAGCGTATGAGGTCGTCTTCAAACCATGTGCCATCTTTCGGGCTTCAACGGGAGCATTCTTCCTTGTCCATGCAAGAACCCACCCCAACGGAACCCAACGATTCTTTCTACCAGGAAATGGACGGGCCCGCTTCTATGGTGGATGACAACAGGCGTGGCTCAGACCCTCTGCCTCCTGCCACAACTCCAGAAAGATTTCAGAAAATGAAGCTCATCATGACCTTGTTTCTTGACAAGAGGACCAAGGATTTCTCCAACCATCCGGCGTTGTTGCAACTCACTGGTGAAGATCTAGAGATTCCACTTGATGAATACCGCAACAACGCTCTTCATTGGGCAGCAATGCTTGCTCGGATGCCCCTTGTCTATGCGCTTGTTGAGAAAGGTGTGAGCATCTATCGTTTAAATGGTGTGGGCGAGACTGCTTTACAAAAATCCGTCGGGACAAGGAACAACCTCGATTACAGAAGCTTTCCGCGCTTATTACAGGTGCTGGCTCCCACCATAGACATGGTTGACTATAGTGGACGCACGATCCTGCACCACATCGCAGTGATGGCTGCAACTGGCGGTGGAGGTCATGTGTCCGCGAAGCACTATTTGGAGGCTCTGCTGGAGTTCATAGTCCGCCACGGAGGCACGTGCATCAGCCAGCAGCCTCCGAATGGAGTTGAGGGTACTAATGGTAATAAAACTCAAGCAGGCGAAGTCATCACCCTGGGCAGATTTATTTCGGAAATAGTCAATCTTCGGGATGATCAAGGGGACACAGCACTTAACCTTGCCGGGCGAGCCCGCTCTGTCTTAGTGCCTCAATTGCTAGAAGTCGGTGCGGACCCTCATATACCTAACCACACTGGTCTCCGTCCTGCCGACTATGGCGTCGGCGTGGATATGGTTGATGGCAACGCCCAATCCCAACAAGCCGGAAGCAAGAGTGACTCTTTCATTGATCATCTGGCCAAAACAAAGAAAGAAATCTTTGATGGTGCGGAACCCCCTCCTTCAATCTAAAGATCAAGATATACTAACAACTTGAAGCAACAATGGCCCAGATTAGCGCAATAGTACAGGAGACATTAGGCGGTATCGACAAAGAACTAGCCACCGACTTGTCCAAGAAGCAAGAGAAGTTTGAACATTGGCATTCCAAAATACGCGAGACTGCCAAGGCCCGTCAAATAGAACAGAAGAAGCTGGACGACCTCAAGAGCAAGTCTTCAGATCGGGTCGAACTAAGCAGACGGATCAAAAATTTGGAAAGGTCGTCTGAAGACCTTCTCGTTATGCTTAAAGAGACACATGGTGGACACTTCGAGCCTTTCAAAATGACCATCGTTGGAGATGCGGATCAAGATTCTGGCGTCGATATGACGGAATTCGGGGCCCTCTTTCCCGAGACGTTCGATCCTACATCAGGGTTTTCCGAAAAGCAAGTTGCCTATCTCAAGTCTCTGACTTCTCCTGAGATCCTGCAGCAACGCCTCAAATGCTATCAAGATTTCAATCAAGAGATACTTGCTGAGGTCGATCGTTTAAAATCGAAGAACGTGGTGTTGGGTCAGAACTACCGTCGAATGGTTATGGCCTGTACCGGCTGGACGGCGGAACAGGTCGATGAAGCCGCCGAAGGATTAACGCAATGCGTGAAGGATTTGAATGACAATCCTGTTCCTGAGGATGAGGCTATCGAGATTCTCATGAGAGATCGGGGTCAGGATTGGTAATGAGATTTATGTCATTCTTTGCGCATTAGCCTGCTGTCTCTCTCTCGTTCTCACATTTTCGGTGTCATGGATCATTGTCCATAACCAGGTTGAGGGTTTTTCTTGCATCTTTGGAGTTCTTTTGTGCCTCAATAGGCGTTCATGCATCTGACGTCTGTATTTACAGATACCCATGGCAGCTGTAGCTGTCTGATACGTCATATCACTGTACTTATACTTATTCTAACAACGTGACAATTGGTGCCTGTGTGGTTATTGTCTTTCTTAGCAGTAGAGCTACGAGCTTGGATGTTAATGTCGGGCAACACCCGGATTCATTTGCTTGGTCAGTGTTCCCCCGACGACAATATGACTCCAGGAATGGAGCTTCTCGTGCTATTCGCCCCTTCAGAGCTTGGCTGCTTCACATCTCAGTCTGCTGAAATCAGCCTAAATCGCGTCTTTTAACCGACAAGATCATTGAAACCCCCCCGCAGGAAACGTACTCCAACATAGGAGCTAACCCCGCCTGTCCCCAACTGTGCTCTCTCCAGTGGCTCGATGTGGAGGTTCAGATATGGATTTTGCCTTTATTCAGAGTCGAGGGTGTGGGTCAATACGTATAAAGGGACTGAAAACTTTTGCATGACCTCAACTATGCAACGCAAATCGATGAAGTCGTGAACGCAATTTGAACACGAGCACATAACGATCGTCTTGATCGTTTGAAGACAAAATGGCTACTGGAATTCTGAAAGTCAAAGGAAACAAAGTTGTTGACGGCAATGGAGACGAAGTTCTTCTTCGCGGTGCCGCTATTGGCGGGTGGATGAAGTATGCAGTAACACAATGCCTTTTATTTTTGAAGTAAATGCTAATTGACATCTGGAAAATAGTATGGAAAATTTCATCACTGGTTACCCAGGTCATGAGTCGCAGCATCGTGCTGCTATGCGGAGAGTCTAAGGACCAGAGAAGTACGAATTCTTTTTCGATAAGTGGCTCAAGTATTTCTTCACGGAGGCGGACGCCAAGTTCTTTGCTGGACTGGGATTGAATTGCATACGGATCCCGTTCAATTACCGCCATTTTGAAGATGATATGAACCCACGGGTACTGAAGGAGTCCGGCTTCAAGCACTTGGATCGGGTGATTGACTTGGTAAGAGTCCTACAACGCAGCGTCGACATGCTGCTGATTTGTTATTCCCCATGATAGTGCGCAAAAGAGAAGATATACACCATTCTGAATATGCACACGGCTCCTGGTGGACAGAACGGAGACTGGCATTCCGATAACCCAACCAGCTACGCTGCTTTCTGGGATTTCAAGGACCATCAAGACCGGACGATATGGCTGTGGGAGCAGATTGCAGCACGATATAAGAACAATCCATGGGTTGCTGGATACAACCCTCTGAATGAGCCGTGCGATCCAGAGCACGTCAGGCTGCCGGCTTTCTATGAGCGTGTCGAGAAAGCCATCCGAGCTATTGATCCAGTCCATATCCTGTGGCTGGATGGAAACACGTTCGCGATGGAGTGGAAAGGCTTCGATAAGGTTCTTCCGAACTGCGTTTATGCTATGCATGACTATTCTGTAGGCTATTTCCCATCCGACCAAAGAGTACTCGTGCTGATTGCTTTCATTAGTCAATGGGTTTCCCTACCGGAGAGCGCTACAAGGGAACTCCTGAACAAAAGGAACACCTTGAACGGCAGTACCTTCGCAAAGCCGAGTTCATGAATACAAACGGCACAGCAATCTGGAACGGCGAGTTCGGTCCCGTCTACGCCAACCCCCGCACGGAGACAGAGGCAGAAACCATCAATCAAGAGCGTTACAGCCTTCTGGGAGACCAGCTTCGTATCTACGACAAGTACAACATCCACTGGTCTATTTGGCTGTACAAGGACATTGGACTGCAGGGAATGATCCACACAAGCCCGGACAGCAAATGGAACAAGACGATCCAGCCCTTGCTGGAGAACAAGAAGAAGTTCTGGCTTGATGCATGGGGCAGAGAGCCATCGGCAGAGCCTGAAGCAGCACTCAAGCCATTGGTTGATTGGATCGACAAGGTCAGTCCAAGAGCAAAGGAAACGTACCCCACCCCTTGGCATACCGAGCGTCATCTACTGCGGAACGTCTTCCAGACATTCTTGGCAGCATCTTTTGTAGACGAGTTCGCGGAGCTATTCAGAGGAATGGATGAGAATGAGTTGGAGGCGTTGGCACACAGCTTTCACTTTGATGAGTGTGTGCAGCGAGGAGGACTGAATGAAATCCTGAGGGAACATGCTCGTGCAACGAAGCACTGAGAAACTGGTATATGGAGGAGTAGATAATCTGTATTATCAATCAGCCAGCCTGATGACTTGTGGATGTACTGTGAATCTCCACCGCTGTGATTGGTGCGTTCGCAGAGCGTAGTTATAACTCATGTTGCAGCATGCTCGTGTAATCTTCCAGCATATTTTATTAATGCCACGGCCTCAAGTGGCCCCACCACAATCTCCGAATCCGCCTTATCGATAACGAAAAATGGGCGAGAGACGAAAAAAAAATGTTAGGCGGGGTACCTGCCTTTTTTCATCGTCATCACCAAAGCCATCAGCAGTCGCTCTTTTGCTAGCTTTGTTTTAGGTGGCCTGGTTCGAGTGCTTGGGAGCATTCAGCATGTTCTTGTGAAAATTTCCAAATCGTACCACTCGTCACATGTTCGTTAATGTCGACGGCCCAACTGAGGTCTATCCAAAGTACAAAGTCAGGCATAATCCATCAGTTCGACCTTTTTGAAGGCATTTAGAAGTCGCTCTTTCAAGATTCAGATTCTAAGAGAAGTTCTTCAAGATGACTGAAGCATCGAACGCTTCTTACCCGTCGTCCTTGGACGTTCTGTTTGATGGGACGTCGCCGTTGAGAGAACAGTATGACCCGGTCAAACTAGTGGATGCAGAGGTCGTCCTCATCCTCCAGCTTCCACTGGCTAGAGAACTGCTGGGACACAACTCTGCAGATGCGAGTGCTATCAGCCGCGTCTCCAACGGCGAGATATGCTATACCACCTTCCTGACCGAGAAGGTGAAGGCTACGGCTCAGATGCCACTGGATGGGCTTACTTCTGAACAGCAACGGTCACAGATCCTCCATATTGGTCTGGCGGCTCTGTTTAGCTTTATGCAATCCAATATTACTGGCCCTCCGTTGGATTTCAACTCGGCGGATGTGGTATTCCCTAATGCTCTCCACTCAGATGCCACCAGGCTCCGGGCTGTTCGCAATCACATCATTCGTGAACTCTCTGTAGACGGAGAAGCCGCCTACAAGCTGACGCCAAATGTTGAGCTCTTTGCCCTTGCGAAGGCTCTGCTTGTTGATGCTGACATCCTACTCCCTGACGGACCGTTGGTGGCGAGGACGGCAAGATTGCGCGTCAATTTTCTTCACCAGAAGATGCTGTCCGAAGCTACTAGCACGTTACAGGATGCCATCTATAGCGACTTGGAAGAGTTGAGCAAGATCCTACTTAGCGAAAAGTCTGTATTCTCTACCGCTCAAGAAAAAGGACGCTTCCTTGTGGAGAGGGCGACAATCCACACCCACCATGGCTTCGACGCCAAGGCTCGGGCAGACCTTGAGCAGGCTGCTGCAGTCAGGAAGTTTGAGTTCGCTTTGACTGGAAGACTGGGTAAAAGGACGAAGTTCCAAGAACATGATATCAGCCAGCTGGTCGTCTTGGCAAAGAGTGCCGAAGAACTGACGACCACGGGAAACTCTGCTCTTCCGGAAGACAAGGAGGATACACCCCAAGCAGGACCTAAGAACCTAGAACTCAACGATGATACCCTTCTCGAAAGCATATCGTTCACCAAGGATGCCGAGATCTCTCAAAACAAGTCGACGACTGTCCAGGAAGAATCTACGCTTCCTCCGGCTTTGCAGTCTCTTGACCCCGGCAACCAACCACCACTGGACCCTGTTGACTCTGCCATTTTGCTGGGTTTGGCTTCCGCGATCACTAACACGTCGCCGGAGAACGGTCTGACTCGGGAAGAGACCCACCCTTACGCTATCCGTGTTCTTGAAGGTGGCAGTTCGAACTGGCAGGTATACACTGAAGCTTTGTTGGTCCGAAGCCGTGTGGAAGGATACCGAGCTCGAACCGTAGAAAGATCTGTTCTGCAGATGCAAGCGCTTGTTGACCAAGTCATTGCAGACACAGCAACTCTTGATACTCAAACTACCGCAAATGGTAACCAGGCTACCACATTCCTCCCAAGACCCGAGAAATCTGAGTCTGCTTCGGCCGCTGAAAGACTAGAGTACATCTGGCTCTTAAACTCTCCTACTCGGTGGAGTCTCGAAGCTGAGTTGGCTCAACGCTGGGTCAACCTTGGCGGTCTGCGGACTGCACTGGACATTTACGAACGCCTGCAGATGTGGGCGGAGGCCGCTCTCTGCTACGCCGCCACAGACAGAGAAGAAAAGGCCAAGTATGTCGTCCGCAGACAGCTATATCAGCCCACTGGTTCAGACCCAGATGACGAGAACGAACAGTTCGACGGGCCGGAACTGTCTCCGCTGCCCGTTGATGCCCCTCGCTTGCTGTGCATCCTGGGTGACATCGATAGTGATCCGACAATGTACGAACGCGCATGGGAGGTCTCAAACAACAGATACGCACGCGCGCAGCGTTCATTGGCTCGCCACTATCTTTCGTTGAAGCCTCCTGCTCTTGAAAAAGCAGAGGAGGCATACCACAAGAGTCTTCACATCAACCGTCTCAACCACAGCGCCTGGTTTGCGCTTGGTTGTGTGCAGCTTGAACTACAAAAATGGGAGGACGCCATCCACTCATTTACACGGACCGTGCAGCTCGAAGACACCGACGCCGAAGCATGGAGTAACCTTGCTGCCGCCATCCTGCGAACCCCAAAACCCAGCGAAACCACCGAAACTGCGGAGGAGGAGCAGCAGGACGCAGACGCCGATGCCGATTCAGAAACCAAAAAAGCACCACAGGATCCCTATAAACGCAAGCGCGAGGCCCTTGCTGCTCTCCACCGCGCCGCTCGGCTCAAGCACACCGATGCTCGTATCTGGGACAATGTCCTGACCGTCGCAGCCTCGATCCCCCCACCAGCTACACCATTTCGCGACGTGGTCACGGCCCAGAGACGGGTGATTGAACTTCTTGGCCCAAAGAATGGAGAGAAGTGCGTTGATATACCCGTTCTTAGCATGCTGATTGAGCACCTCGTCGACACCTACAACTACGAGGACCTTCTGATCAAGGTCGATGAGAACGACGAGAATTCGGAGCGCATCGTTCGCAATGGCACCATCGCCGGTCAGATTCTCTCCCTCGTCGACGAGTGCGTTGTGCCTCTGATCACACACTCGGCTCCGCTCTGGCTTCTCGTTGCCCGTGTAGAACAGTTCCGTGGCCAGCCGTCTAAGGCCTTTGAGGCGCATGAGAAGGCCTGGCGAGCTACCGTTGCCTCGTGCACACAGGGCGCATTCCAAATGGGCGACGAGAAGAAGTGGATGGATGTCGTCCGTGCAACTGAGAGGTTGGTCCGTGATGGATATGCCAAGTTTGGGCCTATGGACAAAGAAGGCAAACACGAGGGGGAGGCTGAGATGGTAGCTAAGGACTGGCGATTCAAGGCCCGCAGTGCTGTCAGGGGTATTCTGGGCAAAGGAAAGGACTTTTGGGAGGATTCCGAGGGCTGGAATCGTCTGAAAGAGCTGCAGTCTGAAGTGGGAAGTTCATAGTTGTCGGACCTGAGCGATGTCCTATGCACTTCATGTCGGATAGAATTTTATTAGCGACTAAGTATGAATAGATCTGTCTTCGGGTAATCATGTCCTCGTTATCATTCAACGTTCCATGCCCTCTTTTCGCATCACCTCCCCTCCACTTTTCTCTTCAACATCCCGCAGAAGCTCTCAAACAAGACTGAATCTAATCCCTTGAGCCAACGGACGACAACTCGGACGCATTTTTCTTCAAGTCTATCCTGCTTCAGCTGAACCTTGAAGCCAAGAGCTGCTGTGCTCTCATCAATTTCTATCATGTCCGCAGTGGCAGCTGAATTCTGCAACTTTCTGCGAGCTTGACGAGACCAAACATTCTCCATTGCGAACCCGACGCCCATAGCCAGATTTTTACGCCAAGTCCAATGAATGCGTAGCTTGCTGAGTTCGTTGTCAATTTTGTCGCTGATGTCATCGATTGATTGATTCATGATTTCGAACATGAACTCGGACGGAAATGGTAGGAGGTGTTTCGGGAAGCCAGGGATGCCTCGGGCTACTTTCTGTTGCAAATCAGTACGGGAGCACTCAAACGCTAGACCAAGATGTGTTGAAGCATACCATACTCGGGCGAAGATCAGTCCACGACCACGCCACAGCCCACCTCTTTGTCTTGCTGCCTTGAACAAATTCCGTTACTGCATAGTTGTTGTTCCCATGCTCCATGAGCCTCTCGACTATCACGGAGACACTGCTCAGCTTCCCAAGCATTGAGCTGTACCAGACGACCCTCTCACGAAGACGAAGGCTTTCCTCAATCATGCGATGGACAAAGGCTATTTCGCCGCCTGCAGTGACCATCTCGACCTCGGCTCCCGTGCATGCCTGTGTCCGCTGATTAGCTGGTGTTTGTTAGTCTCGGTGGTTTGAACTTACTGAAAATGGAGGCCGTTCCTTGGCCTGTGCTGAAGCTATCATTTCTTCGCGTGAGGCGTAGAATGGAGGATTGCACATGGTAAAGTCGAGCCTGCTAGTCTCAGACATATGTTCACTTGTACAATCTCAGTGGATACATACCTTTGGACGTCGAGCTTTGTGTCTAGAGGAATGAGATCATCATTGGGCTCAGTTTTGAATACTCGGATTAGACTATCAAGTCCGTTATTTGTCACATTTTCTCGGGCGGTTCGAACATTTTCATCGTTGACGTCTAGGTGCGTGTGAGCTTTCCATCCACCCGATGGGTATTGAAGCCGACAATGATTACCTGTAGCAATGAAATCCCAGAGGGGCCGTGTCGTGCATCCTAGCAATGGGTATATACTGCAGCATCCTGTTCCACTACGAAAGTCAGAAAGAGCAACACCGTAACATGTCCAGAGCAGGTGATACCCACATATCGAGGCCTAAGACGGATCGATCCGGGTCGTAGTCATCGCGGTACTGGTCGCCTGTGGTATCGAGAAGGTCTTGCAGCCATAGAATATAATTTAGCCTGCTTGTCCGTCAGAATATACGCAAATTTTGCATTGGCGATCTGCTTTTATTCACCTGTTCGGTACCTAGAGTATCAGGTTAGCATGTAAGTCTTTGCGAGCCGAGATAACATACCGGTGGACAAAGTCTGTTGTCAGGTATCTCAACATTCAAATTGAAATCTCTCTTTAAGAGACTCTTGGTCAATTGCCTGAAAAGTCGGTCAGCTATCTGCCAACACCTGCAATATCTGTATGACCGTCCTTACCGTACGGCATCGGGATCGCTAAAATCTAACTGGCCGTTTGGTTTCACACTGGTGGTAGAGTCAGAGATGCGTATCAATCAAAGGGGCAAGACTGACTATTTCGCGAAAGCCGGCGACTGCAGCGCAAGAGTAGTGAAGTCTACGTCATCTTTGTAGATATTTCGAGCTGCCCTCATTATGGTAGATTTAGTGACACGCAGGTAAAAATGTGTCAGCCTGAACCTGCGCCAAGATGAGCCACGAAAGTAGTCGAGAAATAGTGAGACGGAATCAAGGACGCCTGTAGTAGACTAGTTAGGTAGTACTCAGTATTATCTAGATGAAATGACGATATTAGTAGATGCCGACCATGGCTGATGGTGGAGCTTACATCGATTTTTCCAAAGGCACAGAAACAATGGTACAGACAGCAACAAAGCCTCGTGATGTTCCGATGATCCCCATTAATGAACTAAATGCAGTGATGCAGGGAGCAACGACGATCAACTGGAGAGAGTGGGTAAGTGTTCTCCTGAACGGGCTTGGGGCTGGGAATTTTTGGTCCCTTAGAATCAGGCCACAAGGCCGTAAGGCTGGTAGGGATAGTATGAAATGATGTCACAGTGGGACTATCAAATAATCGCCGATCCCCCCTCTTTTTGACACTTGGGGTGAAACATAAAAGAAAGGACGTCTTCGAGCCGGATATTTAAAAGGAATAACTCGTGGTCGAACTTCAAGAATCGCGAGCATTGAGAGAATTTCTACGGATTGTTCTTTCACAGTTGGATGCCAGTTTGGATCGTTTCGTTTGTTTTGATTCCAAGAAAGTAACCTCTGTGGGTCACATGTTGAAATGGGGAAGTTGAAGGAGAAATTCGAGCACGAGATTGACCATCTGGAAAGTGCTTTGAAAGGTCTGTATCGTATCTCTTTCAATGAGATATTCTTTGTGTCTGACATTGGCTATCAGACTCTCATTTACACGACGCCAAGGCAAAAGCTTACCACCTCAAGCACAAAGTTGGAAAATTCTTCAATATCGTCAACCCCAACCACCGCCATGACGAGGAGCATGAGAAAGAAACGGACAAGAAGAGAACTGCAATTGCCGAGTCACACAGATACAAGTCCTTTGCTCCGGTTAGAGAGGGCAACAGGGTCAAGTGGTATGTCGACGCGCTGGACTACCTCTGGGCTGTCTCAGTCGCCTTGGAGGAGGCAAAGGAGGTGATCTATATCGAGGATTGGTGGCTCTCTCCGGAGCTATTTCTTCGTAGGCCTCCATATTTGACGCAAGAATGGAGACTCGATCAAGTACTCAAGCGCCGCGCTGAAGCGGGCGTTAAGATCTATGTGATTGTTTACAAGGAGGTTTGTTAGCCATATTGACTGTGTTCAGTCCGTACAACTGACAGGATTCAGCTCAATCAAGCATTGACATGCAACTCGGCGCATACGAAACACGCGCTCCATAGTCTCTGCCCCGAAGGGACCCCTGGTCACGGAAACATCAAAGTTCTACGGCACCCGGATCACAATGTCTTTGAAAATGCGGCAGATATGACATTTTACTGGGTAAGTCCGTCGTGGATCGTAGTTATAGTCATCATTATGCTGATATTCTAGGCACATCATGAAAAATTTATTGTCATTGACTACGCCGTCGCCTTCATTGGTGGTATTGATTTATGTTTTGGTAGATGGGATGCTCACCAACACCCCCTGGCGGACGTTCATCCAACGAACTTGAAGGACGAGATATTCCCAGGTCAAGATTGGAACAACAACCGTATTATGGATTTTCAGAGCGTTGCAGATTGGCAGTCAAATGAAGTAAGCAAAGCAGACTATGGTCGAATGCCATGGCATGATGTTGCAATGGGTTTGGTTGGTGATTGCGTCTATGATATTGCCGAGCACTTTGTCCTTCGATGGAACTTTGTCAAGCGAGATAAGTACAAGCGTGATCATGGCGTCGACTGGCTTCTGTTGGAGGGCCGCACCGGTGATGACGAAGGTCTTGTCGGGGTACAACGCCCAAAGTATCCTTGTGGAGACTATATTCAACATCCTCTCAATCCGCTAGACACCAAGCCGCGAGGAATGCAAGGCACTGTGCGAGGACAGATTATCCGCAGCAGTGCTGATTGGAGCAGTGGAATCCTGACTGAGCAGAGTATTCAAAATGCTTATTGCGAGATTATTCGTAACGCTCAACATCTGGTCTATATCGAAAACCAGTTTTTCAGTACGTCCACCTTCGCTACAATGCTTCAGATGCTGACGTGCTCAAGTTACTGCCACTGGAGACCAGCAAAAACCCATTATCAATACCGTTGGTCGTGCAATTGTCGACGCCTGCGTTCGAGCTGGCAAAGAGGGTCGGAAGTTCCGAGTAATCATTGTGATTCCTGCTATTCCAGGATTTGCTGGCGACTTGAGACAAAGTGCGGCAACAGGTACACGTGCGATCATGGACTACCAATACAAATCTATCCTGCGCGGGGAACACTCGATTTTCGGTCAGATCTCTGCTCAAGGAGTTGATCCAAGAGGTGAGTGCTTAACCTTCACAGAAGCAAATGACTAACTCGGTCAGAGCATGTGTTCCTTTTTAATCTGCGCGCTTATGACCGTATCGACAAGACTCCTGCTCTGGAAGAACTAGAGAGTGAAGCAGGAGTAACGTATCATGACATCCAGCGTGGCATAGCCGAGTCCATTATGAGCGACAGCGTTCACCCGGTGGTTGGCGAAGAAGGAGATAAACACGAGGTCAATTACGACACAGCACATAGAGAGAAGGAAGAAAGGATTGCCAGATTGCGCAGATATGAGGAGAAGCAGGAAAGGCGCAGAAGTGGCCAATACCAAAGCAAGGACTCTGTAGCGCATACTACGATGCTCAATGGCGGCAAAATGTCTGAGGAACCCTGGGAAGGAGATCCGGAGAGTGAAAAGGCAAATTTTGTCCAGGAAGAGCTCTATGTGCATGGTAAAGTGTGCATTGTAGACGACAGGATTGCCATCTGCGGCAGTGCGAACATCAACGACCGGGTGAGTTTACCCTTTTTACAAATGCTGGGCTCCAGGACTAACACTCAAAAGTCACAACTCGGTTACCATGATAGCGAGCTGGCCATTGTTGTCGAGGATCAAGACTTCATCGATAGTATGATGGATGGGAAGCCATATAGAGCCTCGCGCCTTGCCGCTACTTTGCGGCGGCAGCTGTGGCGGGAGCATCTAGGCCTCCTTCCAGCGCAAGACTACGACGCCTCTAAGCACCCCAATGCCCAGCCACCTAACGTCTGTCTGAATGAGATTCTTGAGGGCCCGGAGAACGACTTCGTCACAGATCCCTTGAACGATGACTTGTGGAAGACATGGACAGAGCAAGCCACAACGAACACGGAAGTATATCGGATGCTCTTCCGCACAGACCCAGATGACAACATCCACACCTTTGAGGACTATGATAATTTCAGACCGCAAGGCGGAGTCAAGGAGGGCCACCTGTTCGACCCGTACCAGCCCGTCAAGGATGTCCGAGAGAAACTGGACAGGATTAAGGGCCATCTTGTCTGGATGCCACTCGATTTCCTGAAAGATGCCGAGATGGCAGAACCTGGCCTGGCTGTTAACCAAATCACTGAGGTAAGTTCGTTAGTGACACTTAAGAAGACATTTTTTGCTGATCTTGTTGCAGAGCATCTATACCTAATCGTCGTCTTTGTCCCAATAGCGAAGTACTTCGTTGCAATCATGATTTTGGATACCATTTGATGACTATTCAAGCGGGATATGAGCTGCAAAGTTGTATAAGTTGTGCATTCATCTCATGTCAACATTGTAGATACGAAATTATCGGCAAAAAGCTACTATCATGTGAATATAGCAGGTTTTTAATGAGGAATATATCCGTCGTCACAGACAAGGAGCCAACCATGAAAATGTCAGCATGTCGGCATGTTATCAGTCAGATTTAAGCCACTCATTGTCATACATTTCTACCGCTGATACTGCAAGAGATCAACTCCTTGTATTAAATAGACTATATCAATCACTACTTCCACAGCTCATACTCAGGAAAGTACTTATCATGGATCCGTCTCGCATAATTGACCACGGCCGGATAACCCTTGATGATCTCCTTTGTGGCCGGTGCCCTACCCAAGGAATCAGTACACCACAGGCAAACCAAAGCAGATATGAGTACTCACGCATCGCACACCAACGCCGTCGCAATGAACGCAAACAACACCGCATCCACCTCCGACGGCCCCTCTCCGCCCCAGACCCAGAACGGCCCGTCCCTATCGGACTGCTTCGCCTGAGCCTCCGCCACCACTGCATTTAAACTCTCCCAGATCTCCTGCCGGAAGGCACTAATTTCATCTTCAGTGAAGGCCATGATACCCTGGCCCTGGAGATTGCGGGTGACTTTGCGGTAGATGATGTTGCCAACGACAACCTGGACGGGCCAGGGAAGGGCAGCGAGGATCTTGGAGCGCATGGTGTAGAAGTTTTTGATCCATCGTTCGTATGTCTTTCCATTCTCTGATTAATCTCTTCTCTTTTGTGTGTATTGATGCGACTCGTACCTGGTAAGGATACAACTTATCCTCTAGCAACGCCTTGAGCGCCAGATCATGCAGTCGCTCAGTCGGAGACAGGCGCTGGTTCAGATCCTCCGTGAATCCCTTCTCAATCAGCGCTTTGGTAATGAGGGTGGAATCTGGGAGCATCTGCGGCGGCTGCTCGCCATCCTGGATGGAGACGTAGGGGACTTTGCCGCGGGGGGCTTTGGCGAAGGAGCCTTGTTCGGTGCGGTAGGGGATGTTGGCGAAACGGAGACGGGCCTCCAGCTTGGTGACGAAGAGGGACCAGGTATAGCAACCGGTATCTGGGAAACCGCGGAAGATGGTAATGAGAGGGGATGATTTGGTGGCCATTGTGGGCGCTGTTAACGGGAAGATGACAATGTTAGGAGGTGAGCCTAGCTAAACGATTCAGTATTTGTGGATATTTCGAGGGCGAACTGAAGAATTGAAGTGAAACGAAGTTTTAAGTACAAAAAAGTGTGAGGAAGAATGTATGTAAGTCGGGAAGAGAGCTCTAGGCTGCGATGCACCTTTTGGGACCCCGATATGGTCGTGGCCGAAATAAGGGTCGAACTGTAATGGCACAAAATTACATGATTATCAAGATGAATGGATGCACTTAAGTGTCTAGCCAATTACCCAGTTATTGTAAGCACTAGTGCTTCGAGAGTTCAGGTGAACAGAGAGATGACTCTAATTGACCCATCTTCAGCCTCTACCTCAAATTCTTAAGGCCGCTGTAGCCTATTCTAAGCTAGAGACTAACGGTAGCCATACTGCGCAGAAACTAAAAAGCAGCTAGTTTTAGTGCTTACACCCCGGCATCAGTCACCGTTCAAGTGCCTTGGACCCCAAACTTCATTCTCTGCCACTGCCTACTTGTGGCTACCCATATATGTGTATCTACAGAAAGTACGAGAATCGAGTGTCGCGTCATCAAGCAATACGCCAAATTTCCGCCGTGCTCAGAACCCCCCCCCCCACAAAGTCAGCAGTGCCCACCCATGGCTCTCTCTGCGCTCATGAAGCCCCAACATTGCCAACATGTGCACGTCCAACTACGCCAATACCAGTGCACCCTGTGTCTATCAACTAGGATAAGTTAGTCTGCACTTCCAGCTGAATTCAGCACCTGCAGGATCTTCACAGACTTGTCATCTCCCAGTCGTGTAATAACGTCTGCAGTCAGTTCCACTTGGCCCGACGATGGGCTGTGGGTCAAAAAAGTTATGAGCCATCCGGCCCATCTCTCTGATAATGGGAGCTCTGTTAATTGTTATGGAGAGATATTGCACCATAATCCATCCGGAAAGGTCCAGGAAGCGTACGCACAAAACGCACCAACTACATGCCAAATCTTGAAGCGGAGACGGAGGAGGATGTACATGTACTCAGGTGCAAGCTCAATAAGGTCAGGCGTCCTTTGACCAAGAGAGTCCAAAACTTCCCATCCTCTCAAGCTGCGGGATCTCGATGAGCCTATTGCCCGGATGTGAGGACAGTCTGAGATTTACTAACCTCGACTCCCAGAGGCGCTCGGCGACAGAAGGTTCGATGAAAGGTTCGTTCTGATGCTTCAGGGAAGAAGAAAGCCATCGAGAAGGCAAAGAGAACAAAGCGTTTTCGGCGATTCCCTCCATAAACTGACCGGCCCCTGGCTGGCTTGACAATTGCAAAGGCACTTTGGCAATCTTCAGTGACCCGAGTCTCCTACTGTCCCGCTCAATCGACTGCAACACCGCCGCCTTGCACTGCTTGCCTATTTAAACGTTTATGCCACAAGCTGTTGGCTGTTGGCGAGCCTGTCTGCTGTTTTTCAAAAGCTTTTGTCTCTTGCAGCATGCTGGTTAGCAGTGTGAGTCTTTGCTTGATTGCTCGTGGGTCAGCTTTGACTTATGTAAACGGGTTGGTTGATACCCTATATTGAGGTTGATATCGCCATGTCGAAATGATTTGCCGTCAACGAGGCAAGATTTGAGTAAGAAGTGCCATCTGAGTAAAAGAAACATATTGCAACGAGATGATTGCTCCGGTTCGGTTGATATCTTAAATTTCTATCCGACGAGTCCTCCAAGCATAGCAGAGAAGCAGGCCTCAACCCCAAATACATGGCGCATAATATCACAACAGGCAGCCTCAGAGCCCCCAATTCTCATATAACAACGCTGGGGTTGGTTCCGACGTATCTAACAAAGTGATAGTACTTAGTATCAATAAATACATCCGATTTGGCCCTTGCACTCGAGTCTCGGCCTATATTGTTGTATCATCCAATTCTGCCCTAGTATCATCCATAGGTGACGCAGCAGTTGGTACCATAGCAATCCCAAACACACATGTACATCCAACCTTGTATTAGTTCTATCCCTCACAATGATTTAGTGTGCGCGTGCTACTGTTTGCCTCACTTTATTTCTGCTTATTCACTAGGCCTTGTCAAGCCTGTACAGCAGCCTCTCTGGGCTGCTATGCCGAGGGAGCTGTATCCATGTACATTAAATATTATATCTAAAAGTCTTTAATATTAGACTGTAGTATTCACTAAGTTATTTCACTTCTATATAGAATATACCATTTACTAGCATCTAATATACTTCTATTCACTAATAATAAAGCCTTAGCTATTTAGCACTGTAGTTAAGTAAGGAAGTATAGACTTAAATAGCACTATCTTCACTATTCTTCTTTAACTTCCCTCTTGTCTCATACCTTCTCTTCTATCTACTTCTTCAAGTGTCTGCTTCTTCTTAATGATTAAATAGGGAACATGTCAGTCAATGACATGATACTAGGCCAAAGTCTTGACACTTACCCTAATGAAACACTATTCGCAATGGCGCTATATTTAGTTACTGATGCAGAGCAGAGGTCTGCTATACCTACATTACAAAATAGCAATGTGTCAGTGTTAACTTTAGAATGACAGCTGGTTGACTAATTACTTACGGCAGACCGAAGCATGGCCTTTGCGTTGCCTCATTTCTTAAGTTGCTCCCATCTATGACTAACCAGGAGAGCAACCAGTCCGAGCAAGGTATATATTCGCGCCACCAGAGTTCTTGACCTTCAAAATCTTATGTAGTAGCGAGAATAAAACTTATTGAACCTGTCATTAATAGATCTTGGTATTCAGCTTATTATCCAGGCTAGGAAGGCACAATTGACAAAGAGGCGTGATGATTCATCAGCCTTCAACCTCACGATAGTCAACAGTGACAAAATATCAAGACGTCCTCATGCATCAGTCCAGAGTGTCATCCCTTAGTTCTTCAATGTTTGCTGCTTAGGAACGTGAGTCCTCACTGGGTTGAGTAGCTCTCATCAAAAGTCTTGGAGTGTTGGAGGCATTTAGACTTCCTATTCCCAGCAGAGTTAATAGTTCATATGATCTTTCGCTTTCTCAGAAGTATTAAGAATGATGTGACTGTCAGGTCGGAAAGTTGTACTTTGCCTTGATAGTCAATGTCGACTTTGGGGCCTGAAGTATTGATCTCATTAGGTAAGTCCCATATGTGATGTGCTTCTTCTTGATTGTTTCCTCCCCTCTGCTTCCCTTCGTTTCTCTCCTCCAGCGAAGCAGCAGTAGCAACAACAACAACACCACCACCACCATCATCATCATCATCATCATCAACACAGCAGCAACAGCAGCATGGCGCGTAAGTTCCTCTGTCGAGATGCATGAGATAAATCAGGCCTAGTAGCTAACAGAAAGGTAGCCCCAAAGTCCCGCCCATATCGCCCCAAGGTAAGTCCTCTCCTTCCCCGAATACCACTCGAAGCTTTTCCATTTGATCTTACATGATGATCAACTCAATATATGAATCTCATGTTACTTCACTTTAATCCGTGATTTGCATCATTGTCACATATAATGTCTTTGATCTGGTCTGATCATCTTACTTTACTGTGCACTGCTCTATTTATCTTCAAATTTCTATTGTGTTTCGGTGCTGTGATACAGCATATGAGGTCACTTATGAAGACACTGAAGGCATGCAATTTAGGTCGATGACTTGCTAACAGAACAACACACTAGAAACGCCCCCAGTACCAGCAGCAGCAGCAGCAACAACAACAGCAGCAACAGCAACAGGGGCTGCTGCCGCCGCTGCCACTACCTCGTCCTGCTCCCGCTGGCCCCCCAGCCCCCTCTGGTCCTGTAGGTATTCTTAATATACTACACAGGTTATGTGATTAACCTTTATTCTAGCTGATAAAGAAGCAGAAGCGTGAAGAAGACATCCAGCGTAATAAGCGCCGGAAGATTACTCACCTTGTAAGTCTATATTGTCTATACACAGATGTATACCAGTAACTAATTAATATTATCTACTAGATTAAGGCAGTAGGAGCCAACCTAGCAGAATTACCAGAGTCAATCCAGAGAGGGCTGGGGGTGCTAAAGCTGCGGTCCAATTTGACACCTGCCCAGAAGCTCCGTCTCACAGAACTAGATGGCGAGTGGGCTGCAGCGAAGCTGGAGCGGGAGGAGGCGCATAAGAAGCGCAAGGCTGCCAGAGAGGCTGTTGAGAAGGCGCAGAAAGAGCTGGAGGAGGCGCAGAAGGCATGGGAGGATGCGGAGAAAGCTGTCAAGAAGGTGTCGGCCGAGCACCGGCTCTTCTTTGAAGAGCAGGGTGATCTTGCTTGAGTTGTTTTTATTTTTATTTTTTATTTTCTAGTTTTATAATTTTTTTCCTTAAAAAAATGAAGATGTTTTACTTGGTCCAGGATCACTAAGTACAAAGAAGGAACTTATCAAATTACAGCTGTAGAGGAGTCCAAATCCCCATGCTCTAATGAACCCCGTTTGTCTTAATAAAATAACGACTACTCAGCGTTCTCAGCAACAGGAAACCCAGCCTTCTCCTTCAAGAACCGCACCACATCATCGATTTCCTCCGGCACTTTATACCAGTGTCCAAACTCCTCATATGCCTTCCACGTCACATCCATCCCAAACCCATCAGATAGGATGGACGCCATCCGTCGTCCTAAGTCTACCGACACCCTGGGATCTGCAGCCCCGTGGCCCAAGAATACCGGTGTTTTCAAGTAGGACACAGGTAACGCATTCTCCGAGTCATCAGCGGCAGACTGAATGGGTGGCATACCGAGAATATCCCGGATATGATTGACTGGTTGGATGTGCGCGGGGGCATCGTCACCATCTGTATCATGGGCGAACGGGTTGTCGTCGTCTTCTTCAGCGCCTGACTTTGGTTCTCCCTGATTGCCTTCATCAATTTTCAACAACCCAGAGATCTCCCTTTCAAACGGTAACCACCCGCTCATCCCAATATATCCCCCAAGGCGTTTGCTGTCTCCCTCCTCACTCGCAGAAGGAAATCCCCCCAAAAGACAGAAAACAGAAGCTGCACACCCCTGGCTCAACCCCCCAATCACGACCCGACTATATCCATCGCCAACAGCGGGATCATTCGACAAGAGCTTTGCCTCTTCATCAATCAATCTCCGAAGAAATTCACTACTTTCCTGTAGCCCGTCAATCTGTAATTCTGTCCGGGTATTCGGATCCTTTAGCGAGTAATTGTCGAACCACTGGTTGATAGGGATCCGTTTCATTACTGTAGAGCGCCGTTTACTCGTGGTGGGGAAGATGAATTTGGTCGTTGGAAGGCGCTTCGCGATGTCCGTCGATTCGATGAAGACGTGGCCGAAGTCCTCGCCATTACTGCCACGGCCGTGGAGGAGAATTATCGTATGCGTATGTTGGTCATTCCTAAGAGGGGGGATGACGAGGGGAGAGGGATAAGGCTTGGAAGGAGGCATGATAGTCAGAGTTGGGCAAATAGATGTTTGAGAGAGCTTCTGAGAATAAAGTGGGCGGGACGGTCCTTTTGAATGGTGCCGCTTGTGATGACCGCTGTGGCAGTGAAGCGCCTAAACAAATCTCATCATGGGCGCAAGAAAAATATTGACTGGGCTAGATCGGCGATTGGACAGACGGGGTGATGTATAATATTTACGAAGGCGTATAACTAGTCGAGTTGCCTTAGTGAGATAGTACAATTTCATGCTATGAAGGCAGTTATAGCAGATGTCTGTTCGAGAGTCAATGTTTTCCTCTGATTCCTAATAGGCAATAACTCCCGACAATCTGATCTCGAAACCAACTCGACTCTCTAGCAACCTTTGGCCCAGTCCATCCCCTGCAGTTCTTAAACTCTGGTATGCACCCTCCATATCTTCAAGGCAATCCGCTCCAAGTCCGCGGTACCAAATTCGATATCCCCTTCGTTGGGGCCCGCGGGTCGAAGGAAAAACCCGTCGAAAGGAAGTACCAGAGGGGCCCCAGAGATGAGAATCGGGTTCTGGGCTGTGAGACTACCACCTGTTGTGTGACCTCGCTTCTTAGACGGGTTGGCTCTGGTTGGGCGATTGATCGATTGACTCCCGCATCTCCACTGAGATTTCCCCCTTGGTCTGGACTCTGGCTGACCAAGATAATAAAGGCTATTTTCACATCTCCCTTAGAGTAGGTCAACCACCACCGAGCAACGCTGGCCAGATAGCTTTTAGACTGTGAAAGTCCCGCTTCAATAACCACTGTCGGCCATTCGTCGGAACGCCCGTCTGGGAGGTGTTGAGGTTGATATGCTTGGTCGGGCCGTTTGTTGTGCGAAGTACCTTGTATCTCAGCTCCTGGGAGCGTTGGAGCTTCAAGTCGAGGTTATTCATGATGACAAACTTGCGGATAATCATGTCTAGAAAGACCGCATGGGCTTGTGCATTGGCTTTGGTAATCATTTTCGCCAGAAGAAGTTCCAACTCGGGATCATATTAGCAGTATGACTGACTCAAAGTCCTGTCGTTGGAGGAACAGAAATCTTGGAGAAACGTTTGCTGGGCCAGATTCGAGAAAAGAATGTATTCGCTTCTCTTACCGGTTTTATCTGCCTCAAGGCGACAATATTCACTATTGAGGACATCATGTAATTGTTGCTTCCCTTGGTATTGGTATTCACTAGTCATCGAGGGACACTGAAGAACTGGTAGTCGCCATTTTCCTTTGGGTTGCATTTACTGCAATCACAGGATCTTTCATGAATTAAGGTGCTCCTTAAGTTGTTTCATATTCATATTAGTAGCTGGAGTGCTATGTAAAATGACTTCATCATGGCCTGGGTGACACTCTTTACTCCTGGAAGGTGATATCATTGTAGCCCTCATAGTAGTTATCACCTTCTATTGATAGGTTATGTTTAGGTGTACTATATTCAACCCACCTTAAAGGTCTTCTCTTTCCAGATACCCACTCATGATTGCAGATTCAGCTAACAGTTCCAAACTACCGAACAACAATACTTACTCTCACTATAGGAGGAGTCCTTCACTTTACCTTGATAACAGTGATTAGCGCATTCAGATGCATTCTGCTGGCGTTGTGGATCCGCTGAGAGTGTTGGTCATGGCGAATCTGCCACGTTTGTCCACTTCGTCCTGGGTTAGTCATATGGCATTGTTAACTATATCTCGAGTTCATTATTTGATTTGTAGATTCGACGACTTGTTCTAATCTTGAACTAATCTTGATACAGAATATCCTTGAGTGCAGTCTCCAGAATCTATCAATGAAATGTGATATAGCAGGCCTTTAAGATTCTTTACTGGAATAGATGATTGAAATCACTAATCTTCTCTACAAGTTTGTTCACGAGAGAGCAATTGCTACCAATCCCATAGGACATGTGTATATCAGGTTACGCCTCTAGCTTTCAGATACCACAGCACTAGACGCTGGTTAAGAACAGGACAGTGACAGCTGCACATTGAAAGGGTTATTCTACTAAGATAGGTCCTCAGTTCATTTGAAGAATATGGTAGAAGCTATCTATAAGAATAACATTTGTCAAGACTGTACACTTCACTGAGTTTGAAGGTTACTAACTTAGGTACAGTTGGAGATTCTGCCACATATTGTTGGGTGAGCTGAGGAAGAGCAAAACTTGTGAATGCTCCCTTCATCTCTTCCTCCATCTTCCTCTTTGTCTTCATCTCCATCTTCACTTTCATCCTCACTTTCATCTTCACTTTCATCCTCACTTTCATCCTCACTTTCATCCTCACTTTCATCCTCACTTTCATCTTCATCTTCATCTCCATCTTCATCATTCTCTTCATCTCTAGTACTATCTCTTCTATCATCACTATCATCTCGCCTCCTTCTTCGTCATCTCAGCCACCTTCCATCAGTCATCGCGCTTGACTGCGAGCCATCCCTCAAATTTCTTCAATTTTCAAGGTGAGCGAACATTTGTCTGTTTCTAAAGACTTCCTCCTTTCAATAGCCAATGGTCAGCTCATTAACTCTCATCATAATTTGGTGAAAGGAAGTTTTACCGCGATAGAATCAGTCAGTAAGCAAGGGCCATCGATCCCCTCAATTAAACACATCAACGACGGAGAAGACAGAGCGAGGTATGTGTTCACAACTTGAGTTGCTACTTACCCATACCAAGAAGGCTAATTGAGACTACTCCTTGGACCAGGTGACCGATGGTCATTCAAACCAGGACAGCCAATAGGTTAAACACTCGATCTATTCACATTCGAAAGCTAATACGAAGTACTATGAACAAGATGCGTGCAAGTCCTGTTCCTAATATTCGATCTACAGCAGGTGAGTAGCGCCACTTTCTCTTAACTAGCTGCTGCTGGCTGACGGTGGGCTAAAACGCGTCTGTAGAGAACCATACATCGGATAGCACTTCAAATACTTCAATTTTGGTATCGTTTCAGCCAATCATCTCGATACCGAATCGCGCCGGAGCATCGGTAAGTAAGGGTAAGTAGGTTCCACCTTCCCACCTTCGCCTTGAACGGCGAGAGATAGTCTCCACGAGGCATCTCTGCATCGCCAAGGGTAGCCTCTACGAGGCCGTTCTGGCACCCGAGCTCGAGGGCAAGAGAAGCTCTACTCCAGCCCTGCTCTCCGAACACTACGAGTTTAGAACTTGTCAACCTTCGAGAGAATGTCATGCCGCGAGGCAAGAGTACCCTCTAACGAGCGTCTGTGGCATTCGAGCTCAAGGACAAGCAGAACCTTGCTCCTTTCTACCTCTCAAGAAGCGACAAGTCCATGACTCAATAGCATCTGAGGGAAGGCCACGCCATACGGCAAGACTGCTTCTACGAAGCGTCTCTGGCATTAGAGCTAAGGACAAGGAGCATCTCGTCCCAACACACCTCTTATGAAGTGAAGAGTTCATGACTCAGTAGCATCTAAGGGAAGGCCATGCCACGAGGCAAGAGTACTTTTACAAAGCATCTCTGGCATTAGAGCTCAGGACAGGGAGCACTTCGTTCCAACACACCCCTTATGAAGCAAAGAGTTCATGACTCAGTAGCATCTAAGGGAAGGCCA